AGTATGTGATTAGAAAAAGGTTTTAAAGTATGATTACGTAGTTAGCTACTTTGAGGAAAGAAATAAAGAGTTTAATTTAATAATCCAAAGTGAAAATCTCTTTTGTTATCACTAAAAAGTATTTTTAATAATTATGTATATTTTTTAATACGTATACTTCTGAGATTATTATAAAATGTTAAAATTGAGTGTGTGTTTGCATATGGTTTCTCTTTATGCATGTGTGAATATATATAATTTATTGGGTAAACCTATTAAAAGCTTCATTTTAGGGAACATATTTTGTTTTTGATGCAACTAAAAAATATATTGTCTTTGATGTAAATTAAGATAAATTTGGGTTTAAAATACACCAAAGTGTACAAGTCTCCTAATAAACTGTTTTATTGAACTTACGTTTATACGATTAAAAATTGTGTGTCACATTTAAAAGTGGTATAATAAGTATAAGACGGTATTTGAACAAATTTTTTAGGATATTTTTGAAATAACAAGCTCTATTAGTATCTTTTTTATATGACATTGTTTGACAATTGTATATAAAAAAAAGTGTTCTAAAAAAGATGTGTTCATAGATCATTTTCCAATGTATCATATAAAAAAACAAATACGACACTTATAAACTGTTAAGACGAACAAAAATGTCTTAAAATTTTATTTGAAGACTTTTATATTGGAAAGACAATTGTTAAGCCATATTGACTTAATCCTATAGATTAAGTAGTTTTTTAAAATGTTTTCGACGACTTTTAATTCGATTACTTATATAATGATGATTGAAGAAACATATGATAAATTAAAATAAAATGCTCAAAATATGAATTGAACTTTCGGACAGAACTGCTCCCTGAATCGGTCGCTTTCGAACAGAACTGCTCCCTAAATCGATCAACAAATTTCATCCAGTACATTGTTTGCAAAAGATTAGGTCTTCTAGTAATTCGACATCCCACCAGTACAGAGCATTTGACTTCAACATTGATACCACAAATCTGACTTTATCGCCATATGAACACTTACTGGTATTGAATACATGTTCTATCTCTCTCAACCAGCACATTGCCTTCACTGGATCCCTTTCTCCAGAAAATGTTGGGGTTTATAGGTTAAAAACATTTTGTTGTCGCCCCCTCTGGTGTTTGTAGATTGAATTTGTGGATTTATTTCGTAGCTTACTCATTTCCTCTGCTAACATGTCCTGAGTAACATACTCAGAAGGTTGCATTGGTTCTTTATTTATGTTATCCTGAACTGATTCACCCTAGTCTAGATGAACTCCAGGCTGACAGTTCCTTCCTCTCCAACGACCCCTTCTGCAGCCTCTACCCTGACCTCTGTCTCAGCCTCTGCCCACTGGTAAATTGGTAGGTGTTAAATATTGAATGATCCTTTACTCAAGGGAGACAAACATGATGACCGGTTCCCCGCTTGACGAGTATTGAACGATCCTTTACTCAAGGGATACCTGCTAATTAGGTATGCATATTAACCCATATATTCTTTTACAAACTTATATCACTTTTGCTTAATACTAATTTATTTGTATATCTGTTGAATATGTGAACGTACGACAACTAAAAGAGGAGATGGAGCCTATAAAGAAGGGAGGATGTGATGCAAGAGGAGATTAGAAAGAGAGATCGTCTACTTGCAGAGCAGCAATAGACGTTTGATGAGCGAGTGCAGGCCCCGTTGAGACAGGTAGTGGAGCATATCGCCAGGTTCACTGATGCTCCTCGTATCCCTACCCCACCCTACCCTCCAATCCAAATTTAGCTAGACTAGGCAGGTTGTGGAAAAAGTTAGATAATTTGTATATGTTTGTGGCTTAGAACCGGTATTTGTTTTTGATATGCATGATTTAGTTTGAGAATTTTGTATTTGTTGAATTGTTTAAGTATAGTGTAGATAGAGTAAAATAAAGACAAATATGTATTTTTTGTTAAAAATAAAAAGAACAAAGATTTGCAATAGAATTCAGACGAAAATCCCACAAAAATCCGAAAACACCAAAAATGGTCAACTATGGTTGACAAAAGATCTATTGAGAACAATTTTCATAAAAAATATCGAAAAAATCCCATGAAATTATGTCGAAACACGAGCAATGGTTAACTATAATTGACCAAAGATCTGGCGAAATTCCGTCGAAAATCCCTCAAAAAGGGGTTCTCAAAACTCCATTTATAAAATGTCAAATACCAACATAATATCATTTAATTATGGAACGACATCCACAAACTTTCATGTAATTTTCGATGAAATTGTCCATAAAAATGATTTAGGTTATGTCAAAAAGATTTATGGTTTCGTCAAAAGGTTTGATTTTTGATCAAATGATTATCATCGAGACACGATCGTCGAAAACATAACTTTTTGACAAAATATTTTCGGCTGAGATGCTCATTTATTTTGTAGTGAGACTAACCAGTGCCTTCTTCATGATCTTTCGTATTACAATCTTGAATTACGATCAATAATCAACGTCAACCTTTGAAAAAAATTCCGTCATGCTACGAATACACATGTTCATCCAAAGTCTCCTCTGTTTTTTTAATAGGGAACAATCTTTTCCCTTCAAAATGCTTGTCTTTTGTGACTCTCTTCAAAAATGTATTTCAAAGGCAATATCATATATTTGAATTTTTTTTATCTTGAATTCGATTTTGCTTTGATCTTATGATTTCCATTTAGATAAACCTATTTTTAAAAGCATAAATAATTATAGACACTGCAAAACAGATCGAGGAGTCTTACCGACGGAAAAATTCGTCTGTAATACGTCGTTAAAGTGGGATTTGTCGGTGAAAGTCTGTTAGAAACGATATCATGGGTAAAGGCATCACTAATGGATCACCGATAGATCTCAACATCAACGAATCACCAACGGAAACCTACTGACGAATTTCACCGATGAATTATGGGCAATCATTTAAATTTATAGACAGAAATCCATAGTGATCTGTAAGTAATTTTGTTTTTTTTTAATAATTGAAATTTAAATTTACCAATGGAATTCGTTGGTAATTTTTTTAAATAACTGAAAATGTGTATTTCCTGTTAAATTAAACCTGTCAAAATACCATACAAATACAGAATCTGATTTTACAATGCAGAAATATAGAATTTGTTTTTACAAAGAGAATGCATAATTCTATATAGGGTAGGGTATCGAACTTGGAATCACATCCTAAAAGCAGAAAAATGCTTTGTTAGCACCTTCTGCCGAGCTAACTCGTTAACTTCCTCCTTTTGTTGTTGCTCCAAAGTTGTTGTCTTTCTTAGTTTAGTCTCAACAGATCCTCATAGCTTGTCAACTTCTCTTTTAACACATCTATCTGTAATTATTCAACATTTGACAAAGAATCAACAATGTTACACGATATATGATTAATAAACTATATACATATATTATATACTATATGAGACATACCTCCCCACGAGCTCCCACTGCTACTACTGGTATTGGGATCACTGGTCATAGCAAACCAGGGATCCTGACTGGTCTCGGATCCAAAGAGACGACCCTTACGCCGCCCTCTAGCACTATACTCCTAGAACCTCTGGGTTATAAGAGGGAATGGCGCCGGGATATGAGCTGAGTTATGTATGCTCCGAAGGCGTGCATACGTCTCTTACAATTTACCAAAACAAAATGTGTTAGCCAACTTGTAGACAATTCGGCAGTATAAAGATTGTAATTCGAACATATCATTTTACTAGTTTTTTACAAATAGCATGTAAGTTCAATGTGTGCCTAACAATGGCAACCCATAATAATTACATATCTTATTAAACTAACCATCCTATAAAACAAACAAAATCGAGTACGAAAATTGTTTTGTCACTCGAGTCGCCTTCGTGTAAATGCAAATCGGAGGATTTGTAGGCGAACTAGTGGAACCCGGAACAGGCTTTCTTTTGGTGCAGTGGATCCTCTAGAAAAGCTTAGCAACAGTGGGCTCACGGCCATACATCTCTTTACAATAGACAACATAAGTTGTTAATAGACACCAAAGTTATATATATTCCTAGATTTGAGATTACATGAGACCAACATGTTTTCATGAGCACCGTGAGATTACTTTTTTACACTTGAAACTTCACAGCAAAATGCTGTGAAGGTAACATTCACAGTGTTTTTGTTGTGAATATTCGACTTTTTTTTAACCTTCACAGTATAATTTCAAGTGCAAAAAAAATGGTCTCACGAGTCTCACAAAAACAGAATAGTCTCACATGAACCCAACCCTATATTCATAAACTATATGCATTTAGTATAGTAGATGGTAGAATACCATGTGTTCCCGATGTTGAACAACACTAATCGATGGTAACTCATCAGAAAATTTAAAAACGATACGGATTGCCGACGGCATATTGGGTCAACGGAAAAAGTTGCCGGTGTGGGATTTTTGTCCAGGATCCAATGATGATCTGTCGGTAATTCCAATCGATGATGCCGAACTGTAACAAAAAGGTTGGTTTAATTTGTAATTATTCATCGTAATCCCTTTAAAATATTATTGTAGATATCCTTATAATTCTCATAATATATAGATTTCTCATTTACCTATCTATATATGGAGAGCAAACAACTTTTTCTCCTACATGTCTACATTATGGCCAACTAAATAAAGTTGCTTCCAAGGCCACCATATATACAATGCTATTAAACCTATCTTCATAAGTTGATTTATTAGTTAATTAATGCAGGGCATTTAATCCATCACTTAATTAATTAATTTAAATAAATTGATCGAGTAAGTAAGCATCAAAATCTGATCCATTAACAAACATCCTCAGAGCAACAACATACATACATCATACCCATTATACATCATCATTCAATTATAAAAAACACATTGATATTTTATTAAAATAATAAATAAAATAAAATAAAATAATGAGGTATTTTCATAATATTACATGGACAAGATTATATTCTGACTCCTCCCCACCTATAAAACCCCTTCATTCCTCATCCTCTCCCCACCATCATCACCATCATCATCATCATCATCTACATACACACAAACAGATGGCTGCGGGAAATTACAGTACTGAATATGAAGATCTATCCACCAGCTTCCCTACAACCTTCACTTCATTCCGTGGAATGAACGTGCCACCATCTTCGTTCCACTCTCTATCAAGCTTACCTTATTATCACAATCAAATCCCTGTTCTTGATTTCTCTCAGCAATCATTATCATCCTCTCTAAGCTGCAACAACTCCAGTACTTCAGATGAAGCCGAAGAGAACCACATGAGCATAATCAACGAGAGGAAGCAGAGAAGGATGATATCCAACCGGGAGTCGGCTCGAAGATCCAGGATGAGGAAACAAAAGCAGCTCGATGAGCTCTTGACCCAGGTTCTTAGGCTCAGAAACGAGAACAATGGGCTCATCAACAAGATGAATCACTTCTCGGAAACCCATGAACAAGTTGTTCAAGAAAACGACAGGCTCAAGAAAGAAACCTTGGAGCTAAAGCAGTTGCTTACTGAGTCACGGCTTGCTACCACTTACACTAATCTGAGAGATCTTCAAGATGATGATGTTGGTGAAGAAGACGATGATGATCAGAAGCTGGTGGTGCTTTCTTCTTGCACCACTCAATCCTCCAACAAATCTACTCTCACTTCAACTTCCAGTAAACCCTTTGATTTGCTTCAATGAAATCATCCACCAAATAAGGTTTTTTAGATAATTATTATAAATATTATTAAAATATTATGAATGGGCTAGCATCCTTTTCTTCCTTTTACTGATACCTGATACACTGGATCCAACTAATCTTATATATATATATATATATATATATATATATATATATATATATATATATATAGTTTGGTTCAAATATTAATCAAGAAACTTGTGTTAACTATGCTAACCAAGATCAACCAATCATATTCCATCTTTTCTTTATGTTCAAATGTAACTCATATATTAAATACAAGGGTAATTAGGTAATTTGATATTTATGTAACTTCCAAATAATTAATTGAGAGTTACAAATCTAAAAAATCTCACTAATTGATCATGATGTAATATTGTATTTGATTTCATACGTGTTCATGATCATAATTTACAAATAATGTTCTCCATATAATGATATTGTTTTCGTAAGTGTAAAAGATTTTCATATCGTCCGAGTAATATGGATAAACATATTGTAAAACAAATCGACAACAATGGAAATGACAAAGTTAAAATCGTCTATGACTACATTCGGAATTCGAATTCCGATAATGAAGAAAATGATCAAAGCGTTCCTATTAGTAAGTGATTAGTATGACATTTGAATTCGTTTAAATGAATACATATCAAAGGCAATAGATGTTCATATCGATACATATGCACAATCACATCAYATKAATATGAACAATATCTGTGATTCATGTGAACACAAGCTTCGTAGGTGTTCATGTACATACAACAGAGTTGGCTCCTGAATATACAGAAGATGTTCATACGGTTCATATGTTGTTCATATGTCTAATCTTTTTTGTTTGATGTGTTTTGAGGATATACAAAAGTTGTTCATATGTCTGACAACTCATGTATCAAATATAGATTACTTTTTACATAAATACCCTTTGATATTTTGTTCATATATGTTAATTAAAAATATGAATTTAATAATTAATTTTTAAATATCATTAAATCACAACGTTTATTATTCAAATTAATGCCCAAAGGGTATCAAGTCTTTATCTATTATTAGTTTTAGACTTAATAATTTGAGAATTAGGCAACTTGACTTTAACTATAAACAACATGCACGAGGCCTGATAGTGATGAATATTGAATGCGCCTCATCTAAATCTTGAAAAAACATCGTTAACGGGTAAACGCCTAACATTCCAACAACTCAAGCCGATTTCTATTGTTCTCCAAAGTTCAACTCTTTCGATTTTCAAGGAACGGCATTATTTTTTAGCCGAGTAAGGTCATGAAGCTAGATACAAAATTTCAAATATGAAAATCTTGAATGATAAAATTCTGACTATGGGGATCTTTTAGCACAGGCACATTCTTTTCTTACATTTCGTCGTTTTATTAAAAAGAACAACTAGACAGACAAATTTAGCATATTCACCTATAGCATCAAAAACCCTAGGACCGAACCTAGTAGTTATAACGGTATTGATTTATGCTTTCATTTTTATTTAATATGCATATTATTCGAATGTTACATACCCATTTATTTATGGGCAATATACGTCAAAAATAACATATTTTATTATTTTTGCTTGGATTTTTGTTTTTGATATTCTACTTTTAAAAGTTCTATTTTGATTTCTATGACAAAATAAAGAAACATGTTTAATATTTTCTTTCTAAAATGATTTATTTTGTTACAAATTATAGTGTATTTCATTTTTTTAATTATTAAGAAAGTTTTAATATGTTTTTTAAATTATATCAAAGACACAAGTAATATTCCCAAAATTGATTTTAAAAGTAGGTTTTCCTTAAATAAAAGTCAAAAACAAAATATGTTTTCTTTTGATTCTGTTTTTTATTTATTTTTTGAAAAGGTTAAAAGGATAMAAAGCATATTGCATCATAAAACAATGTATATGAATTTTGATAATTATCAAACAAATAGTTAAATTCACAATCTCAGAAGGATTGTGTGAGAATGAGAGTTAAGATGAARAACGTAAGAAGGAATCTGGACCCTTGATGATCATTTTTAATCTCAAACTAACCCATAAATCGCATTTGATATGGAGATTGAAAAACACTTTTAAACAGATATAACCGTTTAATGAAAGTATAATAAAATAATTTATAAACACTTCAAAACAGATAATTATATTCATATTTTTGGTGGTTTTATTGTATTTTTTAAAACGATTATAGGATGTTAAATTGATCAAATTCAATAGTGAAGAAGTTGTGTTTGAAAGTGTGTCTTGTGTTTAAAGTTATAATAACTAATTTCACAATGTGAATGTTGGATAAATTCAAATTTATTTTTAAAAATAACAATTAAACAAAGGTGTTACGTATAAGATAATTTCAAGTTTCAACTACAGAGATTTTCACTGACGGCCATGATTTGTAGGTCATTTGAGAAGGGGCATCCACGCATTATTGGAAACATGAAGTTTTACATTATTTTGCTAACAATTATCGTAACCGAAGGTAGACATTGATACACTACCAAACAGGGGAACTTTTCTGGCGGCTAATTCCGCCGGAAAATACTATTACCGGCAGATTCCAACGGATTTGGCCGCCGGTGATTAGTTTACCGGCAGATGCTTTATTTTACCGGCGGATTCCGGTAGCCGGAAACAGTTTGCCGGTTTAATTAAGAAATATTTGTTTACTTAATTAAAAATTTAAGAACTTTTTTTTAAAATTAATTTAATTTACCGGCGGAATATTCCGTCAGAAATCCTTTTTTCGCCAGAAAAATGAATTTATTAAAATTAAATATTTAAAAACTTTTTTAAATATTACCGGTAGAAATATCCGCTGGAAATCCGCCACAAATATTTAATACATTTTTTTTAATATTATTAATTTTTGAAATATTACCGGCAGAGATATTCGTCGGAAATCCGCCACTATAATTAAAATATTAGTTTCAGAATATTTTTACAATAAATATTTAAAATCTGTAAAAATATTGAAAAAACTAAAAAATGAAATGCAACCAAATATCATACATTAAACTAAATAATTGTTACAAACAAACGATATTCAATATAAAGTATCACACAGTTGTTACAAACAAACGATATTCAATTTAAAGTATCACACAGTTGTTACAAACAAACTAAATTGTTCCAAATAAACAAATGATATTCAATTTGGTGACGGTGGGAATTGTTGTGATTGACGGAGTTGGTTAAACAAAGCAGCCATATCTTAAATTTGTTTTTCTTGTCACTCATCCACTATCCGTCGGCGCTGGTTTTCTTCTTCTAAATCCATAATATTGGAAGTTAAGGCTTCAATTTTCTATAAAATAAATAAAACGTTATAATATTATATGAATTATAAACTAAGTCCATAAACATCATCGAAGGAAAAGAGACACATACCCGACTATCTGAAGACGATGAACCACCTTCTGTGTAGTTCCCAGTCAAGACCCAATTGGGATCTTGGTTGTACCCAAACCCAAATAGACGACCTTTCTTGCTTTCCCCAACCGCAGGCTCCCACAACTCTTTATCAACTAAGGGATATATAGGTGGAGGGATCATCGCCGTATCTTTGGGTGAGACCCGTTGAATAGTCATCCTATATATGTTTTAAAAAAGATTGCAAGTCAATTTTGACAGCATGACGGCTGTAAATGGGACGTTTCCAGGCAAAACAATAGTTCATATATATGTCAAATTTTTGTTCCTATTCGACACAATGGTTATATATATATATATATATATGGGTTGGGTTCACGTGAAACCAAGAGTTTTTCGTGAGACCCGTAAGACCAATTTATGTTCATTGATCAACTTTATAAGCATATGATCTAATGGTCTAAAGTTGCATGAAGACAATTTTGTAATTATTGAGAAGTCTCTTGGCGTTTATGAATGTTCAGATCTAACGATTGTAGATTTAATTCAAGGATTGAGAATTGATCTTACAAGTCTTACGAAAAACTATTGTTAATATATCAAAGACATAAGTAATATTCCCAAAATTGAGTTTTAAAAGTAGGTTTTCCTTAAATAAAAGTCAAAAACAAAATATATTTTCTTTTGATTCTGTTTTTTATTTATTTTTTGAAAAGGTTAAAAGGATA